TGAAGAATCATTTTGACTGTATTTTGGAGAAGAGAATAGAGGAGGGAAAGATTGGGCTTGGGAGATTTATTAGAGTAGTGCTGGAATATGGGAATATAGCTGAGTACACTGGTCTAGGAAGCAAATCTAGGAAGAATTTGAGAGACATTCAGGAGATAGAAAGGACAAGACCCATGGATGAACTGAAAGATAGGAGTGGCTGGGCGCTGTGGTTCAAGTCTGTAATTCCAGTACTTTGGGAGGCCGAGGCGAGAGGATTACCTGAGCCTGCAGGTTCAAAACCAACCTGGGCAACATGGTGAGACCTCCTCTCTACAATAAATCAAAAAAATTAGCCGGGTGTGGTAGCTTGTGCCTGTAGTTCTGGCTACTCGGAAGGCAGAGGCGAAAAGATCGCCAGGACCCAGCAGGTTGACGCTGGGGTGGCCATGAGCATGCTACTGTACTTCAACCTGGGTGAGTGAGACGCCAACTCGAAAATTAAAAAAAAAAAACAAATTAAGAAAGATAGGAGTGATGAAAGAGAAGGAAACTAAAGATGAGTCTCGGGTTTGCCCTTCAGACATTTGAGATTTTTTTTTTCCTCTTCTTGAATAAAATAGCAGTCTTGTGTTTACATCCTGTAAGCAAATGGCAGTCTGATTGGCGCAATGAATGACAATGGGTATCGTTAGCTGAATAAAGCTCAAAAAATTTTAAGCAGAGACCTACTTCTGAGTTCTAAGGGCCTCATGTCAACCATTGTTTAGTTCATGAACAAACACAGCTGGTCAGTTGCCACAAGAGCCATAAACAATTTTAGGATATCTATATAGAGAGTGATTTTTTTCCTACAAAAGTAATTTCCAGTTCCATCACCTAGTTACCACTGTCAATGATTTCATTCTTCTGTCAGTTGTGATGAATCCAAGAGCCAGCCTAATACGTGCTCCCTTTAGCAAGCACTTCTGTGACTTTAAGCAATTCCTTGTCATTAGATTGGTAAGAATTGGCCACAGGAAGAATTCACCTGTCTTAGCTCTCAGAGCACCATTCCTGCCAGGAGTACCTAAGAGTCAAGCAGAAGTAAGTGCCATGGACTATAGCAGGAGGCAAGATGTGGCAATGACACATTGCCTAGAGAGTGGTCAATATTGTATGCATTGTCTAAAGAGTAGTCAATATTGTATACACAAAACAAATCACTTATCTTTGATCATCATCTGTATCATGTAGTTTATTCTATGATGATATTGGAAGAGCTAGAGTAGCAATTGATTTTAGACTCAGATAAAAATTGACTTCTCTCTATGATACCAAAAGATGTTAAATTACTTGGCTAAGTTACTTCAAGGCTATATGGATTCGGTAATTGCTTTGGTGGTTATTTGATGTAAAGAAGTAAACAAGTGGAGGGTATTAGAAAATATTGAAAGATTCTTTCAATATTGAAAAATTACCCTGAACGTCCAAATAATTATGAGACAGGGCAGATCTTGCCAATATCCTTAATAAATGTTGCTTAAGAAAAATTGTATAAGATTGCAGAAACTATTGCAAAATACTATTCCATCATTCATGCAGATTCTTAATGATACTTTCAATGGTTTATTATCTGCAGAACATGAATATCAATATTTCAGAAAATTCAAGAAAAATATCACAGCATGGGCCCCAAATAACTTAAAATTATTTTTATAAGTGACTTAAAATTTTAGTACTAACAAATGTCACAACTATATTGACAAACAGCTAAAACATTTTCTTTCTTTTTTTTTTTTTTGAGTTGGACTCTCACTCTGTCGCCCAGACTGGAGTGCAGTGGCCGCTCCCAGCCACCGCAGCATCAACCTGCTGGGCTCCACGATCCTTCCACCTCAGCCTTCCAAGTAGCCGGAATTACAGGTATGCGCTACCACGCCCGGCTGATTTTTTGATTTATTGTAGAGATGAGGTCTCGCTGCTCAGGTCGGGTCTCGAACCCGCAGGCTCAGGCAATCCACTCACCTCAGCCTCCCAAAGGCGCGGGATTACAGGCTGAGCCACCGAGCCCGGCTTAAAACATTTTCAATAGACAGATTTGTTGTCTTAAAAATACGTGGCCTGAAAGTTTTGCATTCTAAAGTGATCAAAGAACCAATTCCTTTCTGGTTAATTTTTGAGTTTGTAACAGTGACTCAAGGTAACTGATTTCTCTTTCTCTGGCTTAAATTGGATTGCAACTTGTTTCCTAGTACAAGGATAAATCTTAATTGCAGTAAAGTGAGAAATGAGAATTGCCTCCACTAATTTGAAGGATGTTGAATGTTTCAAAAAATAACTTTTTTCCTTTAGTTACTGATAATAAATCAAGTGCAGTTACATAATTATTTTTAGCCACATGTTTTCCAGTGGAAATGTTAGACATTTTATAGTCATTTCACAATATGCTCTTTGCCAGAAACATTAAAAATCAATTTGTTTTCATTAAAAAGTGATAATGCCAGGCTCGGTGGCTCAGCCTGTAATCCCACGCCTTTGGGAGGCTGAGGTGAGTGGATTGCCCGAGCCCACGGGTTCGAGACTCACTTGGGCAGTGAGACCTCATCTCTACAATAAATCAAAAAATCTGCCGGGTGTGGTAGCGCATGCCTGTAATTCCGTCTACTTGGAAGGCTGAGGCAGAAGGATCACCAGAGCCCAGCAGGTCGAGGCTGCGGTGGCCGGAAGTGGCCACTGCACTCCAGTCTGGGCGACAGAGTGAGACTCCAACTCAAAAAAAAAAAAGAAAAGTGATCATAAGATACTCTGTTTTCAAGATCAAGTCATTCATATCTTAGTTGGCCCAAGAATATTTCAAATTGAAGTATTTTTAAAAGGTATTGTTTTCTCCCTATTTTATATTTCAGTTTGAATTTTTAGTAAAGGCAATACAAATTTTTCTTATGTTTATATTACTCCATTGATTGGGAATCTTACGTTATTCCAGTAAGTCGATGTTCATAAAATCTCTTATCATAAAATATTAGATCATTTTCTACAACAGATATTATTCCACATAAAAATAAATTTTTATTATATTAAGCCATCTGAGATTATATATGTATGATATTTATCTATTGCTACAGTATAGCCACACTTGTCCTGTCTGACATATATCACAAAATTTCACTGGGAAATCTTCTAGTACAGTGACAGATTTCTGGGGATCATCTCATTCTACTCAATTAATATTTGGAATCTATTGCATTTGATGAACATTAATGCATTTTTTGAAATGTGATAATAACCAATAACTAATAAACTTAAAACTGCAAAAAAGTTACTTTAGCAGTATCTAATTTGCACCTATATAGCTATGCAGTATATGCACAATCCTCAACTTCAGTACCTACCTCATGTTTATTAATAAATGTATCTCATAGGCCTGTGTTTTGAAAGATGAGATTTTTAAAAGAAAAAAAATTAATCTTTGTATTCTGATTACTCCCTCAAGCAGCCTTAGTCTACGTGAATACCATACTGATCAGAGATTGGTAATCTATAAATTTAGAAACATTTCCTTTTGGAATTATATTTAATTTTCAGGTACAAAGAGATCTAAGTTGGTGTCACTAGAATGAAACATATTTTGTGTATGTTACAAAAAAAAGAATATAAAATTTTTTGTGTGGAACTATACTAATTCTTTAGAGTACATCTAACTATAGTGCAATTTGTAAAAGATTTCTATTATTTATCCTTAGAAATGCAAATCATTGCTTTGGTTCTTTTAAAATATTTTTATATGTAAGTAATAAAATAAAATTCTATTGAATAACTGTGTAGCACATAGAGGTTAATGACAGGCTAAAATACTGTTTTTTAGGAAACATTTGCTATAATCTTAGATTGACCCACATAAAGTTGGCATGTCTATTTCTCCTTTCCCAAAATTAGACAAGCTGGAGTAGTCCTATAAAAAAGAATAGAGACATTTAAAATGAAATCAAAAGGCCTAATTCTCCACAGGATGAGTGTATCATCTTTTTGAAAGGTTTCTCAGCAGATACTATTTAATTTGCTGAATTTGCCCAAAATCTGTCTCTGAGATTTGCAATTCTAAGAATTTGATGTCACCATCATTTCATATTTAATCAGAGAATTGTTGACTTGTGCATCACGTATCATCTAGAGTCCAGTTGAGAGACCACACAGTGATTTACATAGAAAACATTTTATAGAGAGAATTATTAACTGTAACAGAGTACTGAAGTAGTGAGAAATAAATAAATAGAACTTGAAAATAATACAGCAATAGTAGATATAAGGAGTATCCATTATTTTCAAGGCCCTGATAAAGAGCTCCAGGAAGAGACTCCAGCATTGAAATCCAGACTCCATTGTGAAGATGGAGTGGTTCATAGAATGGTAGAGAAGTTTGCTATAGTGCTGCACTGACTGAACTCCATGGAATTCTACCCTCTAGGGTGTTAGGGAAATCTTTACGTGGGGAAGTATCTCACCAGGAGCATTCCATTACAAACCATAGTTTTGAAAGTAATTCAGATAGGATTCTTAGCTGTACTTTGCAGGAGAAATAGGGAGAAATGTGAATACCCTATTTGACTGGAACTCAGAACACTATTTTTCTTATCTCTAACCAGTGCTTTTCTGACTCTTAAATTAGTGTATTGGGACATTATTCTGCTTCACAAGACATATTTCTCTTCTGGCATCTATGCTAAACTTTGTTCTCCAACATCCCACCTTCCTTTTTCTTCTTTCCTCTTCTCTACCCATTGTTTATTTCTTCCTTTTTAATCTCTATCCTCCTTGTCATTTCCTTCCTCCCATCTCTTTTCCTGCTAAGGTACGATAACTATTCAAAATCAATTATGTTCAAAAGTAATGCAACAAAAGTTTATTCATCACTATATTTTCCAATGAGATCACCTCCATGCTTATTTGGAGTTTAAAACACAAAATGAACACATGAGTTTCATAGTTTCAAAATAGTATTTATCTAAGCAACTAAAGTTTTAGGAAAAAAACACCAAGAGTTTTTATCATTGGAAATAATTTTATTATTTAATTTAAAGCAATTTAGTGTAACTGGTAGCAAAATGGTACATAGATGGTAAACATAATCAACTCTCATCGGGCAACAGGGCTATTACTGACTTTATGTTTTATTTTCATGTGCAAGTATAATTATTTTAAGAAGGCAACAAAGTCTTCTAAAAGCATGTTTTTATTCTTTAAATAACAGAGATACAAACTATTATTATAGGAAGCTGGTATGAATTGTGCCAAATACTAAATTTTGATTCATGTTTATAGTCAAAACTTATATTTTAATATTTATGAGACAAAAATTTAGTTATATGGATACAAATAATCATATCTAAGTTAAAATCCTTGTCTTGACAACTGTCATAATGCAAAAAAAAAAATTAAACTTCAGATTTTGTGGGGAAAGAAAAGATTTGTAAAATCTTATGTTCCCCAAAATAACTGCAATGAAGTAAAAAAAGTCAACTCAGAGAAACATCATACTTGACTACTTATGTGCAAATATAAAACCAGTTTATTAAATTAATTTTTTTCTTTGTTACATATATTTGTTCAATTCTGCCTTCAGCTTTAACAATTTACATGTGAATATGTGTGTTTGTCAAATATATTTCACATGTCTCTAGCATATACACATATAGGCATACAATCTTTAAGTTTTAAGGCATGCTCCCAATTTAAAGTAACTTGTTATAGATTCTCTTCTCTGATAAAAGAAAATTAAAGATAAGCTCACTCTCTTGTAGGGGCAATTCTTGATGTTCTTGTTATTCTAAAATGTAGGTAACGTAAAATACTTAAAAGAAAAAAAAAGCATTTTATATTTTCTAAGCCAAATTATATAATGGCTATAATCTTTTATTTCACATTGTATATTGTATACTTTTATTTCAGAAGAATTATTGAAAGAACATTAGACTTTTTTTAATGTTTTATCCTTTAAATTGATCTTCTTTAAATAACAGAGAGGAATATTATGAAAAGAGAGGACAAAATGTCTCTTTCTAGTCTTACATGTCCTATTTTTTGTTGAATTAAAACAAATGTCAAATTCAGAAGTAAAGAAAAATACAAAATTAGAAGAATGATATATTTTTAAATTGATCGATGCCTTTCCCACAGAAGCATCTTAACACAATTCAATTACCTGAATTACCTGGCAAACTATATACACATTCTCTTGTGCTTTTCTGGTCTACTTCTGTAGGAGAATAAAGCAATACAGATAAAAGCATTGGTGTCACCAAGGGTCAGTTTACATTTCAATTTGTAACTGTCAAATTCTGCATGATTTGTCTTAAATGTAAAGGCCAAAAACTGTTTATTTTTATTTTATGCTTTTTCATAACAATGTTAAAATATAGTTCCTATAGATGACTTTTCAAAATTAAATAAAATTGTGTAAAACACTATTTCTGAGTGTAATTATTTCAATATCAAGTACATAGGGGGATTTTTAATGTTTTGAAGTGTCTTTGGAGTTCATAAAAGGTATAAATTATCTCTGTCAATTTAAAAGCATTTTTCTAATAAAATTTATTATATAGATATATGAAAACTGTTAAAGCTCAAGAGTCTAGTTAAAATCATTACAGCATATTTCCATCAGTCCAGTTAATGTTTCAATTCTTGAATTAAATTTAAGTCAACACATGTGTATTAAGTATTTTCTCTATGCTAGGCATTCTTTTAAGAGAATAATAGATATTAACCTTTTAGTATACTTTTCTTGGCATAAAATGTTTGCTAGACATAAAGTTACCAAAAAGTGCAGGATTTCTTTTTGTTTGTTTTAGTTTCTTCAGTGTAATAAAACATGCTATGAACATCTCAAATTCTAAGATGACTATGATGGTATATAAAAAGGCAGAGAAAAAAAGGTTAAAATGACTTAAAGATCTGCATTCTAAAGCAAACTATGATTCTTACATGAAAGTCAGTCACACAAGTTCACTGATTTATCTCTATGTAGAGAAGACTAGACATTTATGATGAGCTTGATTTTATAAAAACTGCAAGTTTAAAGAATTTGTAAGAGGAGCAGCAACTTTCTGTGTCCATTGTGATGCACCAAATATATTTAAAGTTTGTCTACTTTCTTAAAACCTTAACAATTTAAATTTTTTTCATATATTTTGGATTAATAGAAAACAATTAAATAACAGACTGAAAATTTTGTGTTTTAAGTTTTCAAAGTTATTCCATTTTTGCCTTTCTATTAATAGGGGAGTACCAATAAGTAATATATTAAGTTTCAAAATGACCTTCACTTCTAAGAGAATAGATTGTTTTTAAATGTGAGAGGATTAAGTATATTCCAATCTAGGTTCTTTCATACTAGCAACCCTTTTGTTGTTTCAAGCAAGATCCTTTTAGAAAAAAAAAAAAGTTTCTCTCTCTCGCTCTCTTTTTTTAAAAATCAAAGTTGAGTTTCCTCTCGAGAGTCCTGACCAGTAACATTGCAGATGCTGTTTCTTCGACTGGGTTCACTGTTTGGAAGGTAGGCCAGTGGATCTGGTCGAATTAAGTATCTAACAAAAGAAAACAAAGAAAATGACTTTGTAATAGTAAATACAGGCAGCATTAATTCACTCTGACACTTTAGATTTCTACTTTATGTGTTCAGTTTTTAGATGATTTAAACTGTCTCTGTAGATAACATTGGTGGAAGAACTCGCTGTTTAGCTGCCCTGTGAAATTTTGCAGGGTTTATATCATCATTTCCATACCTGAGAAGACTTTGATGATGAATGCTGATAAACCGAGGACCATTATTTTTCAATTATGATACGTTTCAGCACCTTTATCTGACCAAAATTTTCTGATTTCAATATTTTGATATCTTATCCCTACTTTAGCCATTTTTCTATTGACCTTCATTCTAGCTGTGATTCTTTTGCTGTTTAACTACGCTTACTCTTATTTTTATCAGTTGTAAAATTATATATTTGATAGAATTTTATGGTATTTGATTTAAATATTTTATAATCTTATAAAATTAATGACTTAATAAATGTCGCAAATATCATGTATAATATTTAAATTATCTGGAAAATAATTCATCTAAAATTCAGGTTATGATATAGTAAACAATAACACTAAAGTATAAAAAAATTCTCAATACATTTTACTAGTAATTTGACAAATGTTCATCTGCCAAACTCAAACACTTCATTAATGTCAGTATTTGTTTTTAAGAGAGATGCTTTTCTTCCGACTGCCAAATGATGTACATGCACACCTTGTCTTATTGCTCTTTGTTTTATTGTACTTTGCAGATGTTGCACTTCTTTTTGACAAAGTAAAGACGTGTGGCAATCCTCTATTGAACAATTCTGTTAGTGCCATTTTTCCAACAGCATGTGTTCTGTTGGTGTCTCTGTCTCACGTTTTGGTAGTCTTGTAATGCTTTGAACTTTATAATTTTTATTATATCTGTTATGGTGATCTGTGATCAATGATCTTTGTTGTACTACTATAATTGTTTGGGGGTACCACAAACCATGCCCACATGAGATGGAAATTGTAATTCATAAATGTTGTGTGTATTCTGATTGCTCCATTAACTGTCTGTTCCCTTCTCTATAACTCCCTCTCCTCCGGCATCCCTATTCCTTGAGATACAACAATATTGCAATTGGGCCAATTAATAAGCCTACGATGGCCTCTAAGTGTTCAAGTGAAAGGACGTTGGAGACCCGCCTGGGCAACTTGGCGAGACTTCATCTCCACAATAAATCAAAAATTAGCCAGGCTCGGTGGCTCAGCCTGTAATCCCGCGCCTTTGGGAGGCTGAGGTGAGCGGATTGCCTGAGCCCGCGGGTTCGAGACCCGCCTGGGCAACTTGGCAAGACCTCATCTCTACAATAAATCAAAAATTAGCCGGGCATGGTAGCCTGCACCTGTGGTTCCAGTTACCTGGAAGGCTGAGGCGGAAGGATGGCCGGAGCCCAGCAGGTCGAGGCTGCGGGGGCCGGGAGCGGCCCCTGCACTCCAGTCTGGGCGACGGAGTGAGACTCCAACTCAAAAAAAAAAAAGGAAGGACTAGTCTCACTTCTCTTACTTTAAATCAAAAGCTAAAAATGACTACACTTTGCGAGGAAGGCACATTAAAAGGCTGGATAGGTCAGAAGCTAGGTTTTTTTCTGCTAGTTAGCCCACTGGTGGGAATATAAAGGAAAAGTTCCAAAGAAAAGTGAAAGTGCTACTACAGTGAACATGCAAATGATAAGAAAGGGAAACAACTTTATTTCTGATATGAGGGGACTTTTAGTTCTTTAGATAGAAAAGCAAACCAGCCACAAAATTCTGTAAGTCAAAGCCTAATCCAGAGCAAGGCCCTCTCTCTCTCCAATTATCTCCAGGCTGAGGGAGGTGAAGAAGCTGCAGAAGACAAGCTGCTGAAAGCTAGTAGAGGTTGGCTCATGAGACTCTGAATTAAAACTGCACGATGAAGCAGCAAGTGCTGATGAAGAAGCTATTGTAAGTTGTCCGAAGACAAAACTAAGATCATTGATGAAGATGTCTACACTAACTGCCAGATTTTCAATGTAAATGAAGACGGCCAACTATCAGAAGATGCTATCTAGGACTTTCATAGCCAGAGAAAAGACAATGCCTGGCTTAAATCTCAAAGGATAGACTCAGAGGGCAGTTGAAGCCAGTGCTCATTTGCCATCTCAAAAATCCTAGGGCCTTTGAATATTATGCTAAATCTACTCTGACTGTGCTATATAAACAGTAATGCAAAACTTGAATGACAGTACATCTTTTTTTTTTTTGAATTTAGGCATTTTTAAAATGATAATTTATCATTGCTCCAGTTCTGTAAAATTTAATTATCTCAATGCCACAAATACAGATTATACAATGATGTGAGCAAAGGTTTTTATTTCTTCTTAATAGTAGTCAGGCTGATGTCTTAGCTTAAAACTAATAAAAAATAAGTTATCCAAAAGAGAAGAAGTTCCCTGGAAATATGTCAATTTTACCTGTGCACACTGTATTGTACATATTATATTCAAAGTTGAAAGACTAAAGACTAGAAGTTATTTGAAATTATAAGTATACGTATTTGACAAAAAATATATGTTCATAGACTCTAAAGGTTAACAATATCTTCTTTGACCATTCTGTCAAAAATAATTATGGGAAATAATTTTATTAGGCTCAAGAAATATTTAACTTATTTTAAAATACAAATAAGGTAAGCACAACTAAACAAACTACATAATTAACAAAAAATTATTTGAAAAAAGATATAAGAAGGTTAGAATTAATAGGAGTAGATTGGATATTTAATAAAATATTATATACAGTTATGGGTTTAAAGGAAAAAACCACATTATTATAGTAATATACTACCTGAAGGATCCATGATGGGCAGTTGAAATCCCAGTACATCATAAATGAGATGGTTTCCTCTGACATAAAGTCTTCTATAAATTCAGTGTCAGCATTGAGTATAATTTTTGACAGTGCCTTGAAGAAGTCTGCTAGCTTAAATTGTTATTAATCTAATTTCCCAATGCTCCTGTGTTCTAACCAGTATTATCAGAAGGCAAAATAAAGCATTATTATACTTATAGTTGTATCTTAGGTGAATTTTAGAAATCTTTTCACATTTATTTTGGATCAAAGTTACTCCTGATATTGTATTTGCCTAACAAGTTTTTGAGACACATTCATGTTTCTGCCCTTAAACAAAACACAACTCAACAGTACAATATTCATTCTTCTACTTTTCTATTTATATATTTGGAAAAATTATTCTCTATATAGCTTTTTTCATGTAAAAACAAAAGAGTAAATATTTTCTATAGAAAATTAGCTTATCTTCAACACTCCAATACCATATAACTACATGCTTTCTTGACTTTCCCACTTTGTACTTTAGATAATATGCTTGAAAGAGTAGAAAAAGAAAATGTGATATATATATATATATATAATAAGAAAATGTGATATATATATATATAATAAGAAAATGTGATATATATATATATACACAATGGAATACTATTCAGTCATAAAAATGATGAAATTCTGTCATTTGCACTAACATTGGTAAAACTAGAGAACATTATGTTACGTGAAATAAAACAGGAACAGAAAGACAAATATCACATGTTCTCACCCATATGTGTGAGCTTAAAAAAATTGATGTCATGAAAATATTTAATAGAATGTTGGTCACCAGAGTCTGGGAAAACTAATGGGAGGTGGTGGATAAAGAGAGGTTGGTTAATGGGACCAAAGACAGTCAAAAAGAAGAAATGTTCTAGTGCTTGATAGCACAGTGGGACAACTATAGTTAATAATTTACACTATATTTCAAAATAGCTAGAAGAGAAGATTTGAAATGTTACCAACACAAAGAGTAAGTGTTTAAGATGATGGGTATTTCAATTACCCTGATTTGATCATTACACATTGTTTGCATGCATCAAAATATGATATGTTCTCCATAAATATGTACAACTATTATGTAAAAACAAAATAGTAATTAAATAAAATAAGTCAACATTACTTATATATACATATGTGTGAATATATATAATATGTGTGTGCATATATGTATGTGTGTGTGTGTGTATATGTATGTTTATATAGTATGTTCAGCTCATCATGTCTTTTTTTCCCAGTCAACAGCTCCTTTTCCAGCCTGAAAGTGTGTGACCCCATTCTGACTCATTTTGATGTATCAAAATGTTTTATTTTTATTCTTTGCAATCACACATTGGAAACCTTAAAGCTATGCTAAACTCCTTTTTCAATGTCTAAATCAATGACCATGGCTCACTGCCTTCAACAGTAGATTTACATAGGGGCTTGCCATTATAATCTATTATCTTGATGCTATGACAGATTATTTCCCTTATATCTGCTTATCACTGGTTTACTTATTTTCAGGACCACCCCAACCCTAATCCATTGTACTAATCAATTATATTAACTCCCGCAGAACTCCTTTTAAAAGTCATAACTTTTCTACCCTAGCAAAAATCTATCATAAAACTGACAACGTGTCAAGTAGTCTTCTAATTATTTGCATATTATTAGTTTTAAACCACTTGCATGAATCCATTTAAGGCTCTGCATCACAAAATGTTCTCACTCCTGCTAGTCCCTTACTTTACTACTTACTTTCCTGATTACAGACACAAATATATCCTGTGGACCTAACGTCCATTGAGACTTTTGGATCTTTTAAAAAAATTTCTTGTCAGTAATACAATCTTGTTAGGAATTTAATTCCCAGGCTTATACCAACGGTTACCAAAGTGCCTTTTCCAAAATCTTGCTATGTACTTGCTGTTATATATCTAAGTGCTATCCATCATCTGTAAGGCCAAGTTTAAACTCATTTTGTCATCTAATGTCCTTCTAGAGGCAGGTCTGATTTATGTATCCAGTATTATAATTACTTAAGATAAGAAGTGCTAAATTCAGTATTATACTTAGTTAACAACAGATACAAAGCTTCTACTCCAAACTGTTATCTGAAACACTTTATGCAATTCCCATGTAGTGCATTTTCTTTTTCTCTTACTCTCTCTCTCTTTTTTTTTTTAATTGAGTGAGGTCTCATTCAGTTGCCCAGGCTTGAATGCAATAGCACACACACAGCCACCACAACCTTAGCTTGCTGGGCTCGGGGGATCCTTCTGCCTCAGTCTTCAAGTAGCTGGAGGTCACCAAACTGGGTTAATTTTTTGATTTATTGTAGAGATGAGATCTCGTCAATTTGCCCAGGTTGGTCTTGAACCCCTGGACTCAGGCAGTCTTCTCACCTCTGTCTCTTAAAGTGCTGGGATTATAGGTGTGAACCATCACACCCGGCAATGTAGTGTATTTTCTAAAGCCATTTTTTCCTGTCCTGGAATATCTTCTGCTCTCCACCAACACAAATCCTATCTACAGAGTCTAGTTTAAATCTTACATCCTTTATAATCACTCCAACTCAGAATAATGTGCTCCTCCATTAATTTAGAAAGGCGCTGTCTATCTCACTCACTTGATGCTTAATGTATTAATGACAGTCATATACTATTAAATTTTTCATAAATGATAGTTTTGTTAATTAAAATACAAGATCTTTGAATCAGAATATGCCTTAGTCATGTCTAGCTCACATATTTCAGGCAATGTTATTACAATTTTACATGCTCAATATGCACTTTTCAATGAATTAAATTACTTCCAAAGACCTTTTGCTAATGAGTACTTTGACCAATTTTACTTGGATTTTAGATGCTATTTAGAACTCAATAGCATGGGATAGTTCAAGTTTTCTTTTGAGTTGCTTTTTAATTATTCCATATTTTTTCTCTTATTTCTCCAAATGTATATTAACTCACAGAATATAGAATACATGCCATTTCCTTATTTTATACTCATTCTTTGAAATAATCCTACAATTTTTATATCACTGCACACAAGAACACATCAAGTGCATTTGTTTATTTAAAAAATTAAACCTAGGTTTTTAAAGCACTTATATCACAAAAATATAAGAGGCTATAATGGAATAAATAAAAAAAATAAATGAGTAGTTTTCTAAAAACACATGCCTATGTGAAATATGAGATCAACTTACACAACATCGTTCAACTCTATTCTGGTATCTGGAGATGGGTTAATCAGGATGTAGGAGAGGGTACTTTGATGATCATTCATTTCATCTAGAAGATAAATACATGCCAAGTTCGTTACACTACTTACAGAAAATTACATGAATTATTGTAGAACAGCTTATGCTCAAACCATATAACTGTCAGGGAAAACTTGCTATAGTTTTACCCACACCATGCTTGCGTACATAGTTTGGCTATTTCCAAATTACTAGCATTGAAAATATCTGACAGGTACTCTTTTTTTGTAGTAATGGATGATAAAAATAAAGTATCTAATTCTGCTCAGACCAACAACAGTTATAGTCTATCCTTTAGCTATTACAGTAAAAAAAAGTATTTCTATTAAATAAATAGCTGGGGAAAATGTTTACTTTATCTATGACTTATCAATTGCAAAAAAAATTGTAGTTATCGACAACAGTCCTAGAAAATAATATTCATATAAGGACTTCTTGGGGGAAAAAAATCTAATTACACTGTGTTTAGAAAACGAAACAAATGGCCAGGTGCAGTGGCTCATGCCTGTAATCCCAGCATTTTGGGAGGCCAAGGTGAGAGGATTGCCAGAGCCCACGGGTTTGAGACCAATCTGAGCAACTAGGTGAGACCTCATCTCTATAATAAATCAAAAAATTAGCTGGGTGTGGTGGCATGTGCTTGTAGTTTCAGCTACTTGGAAGGCTGAGGTGGAAGGATCACCTGAGCCCAACAGGTCGAGGCTGTAGTGGCAGTGAGTGTGCCAGTGCACTCCAGCCTGGGCGACAGAGTCTCAAATTTTGTTAATTCATTATATAGACATCTTCAAGTTGCAAAGTTGGAAAGTTGACTTGGCATTATATAGGACATCAGAGGTAAAAGAAAGCAAACAGCTTTGGGGTCTCAATTTTTTATATTTCAAGGTTATCATAAGTTGTAAATATAAAACCCTGAGAACTTACGCTTCAATCAACATAACTCCTATGGGTAGAATTTTAGCCTATGAGAATTCTCTCAAAAATCCTGTTCTAGAGCCAACGTATTCTTCTAGCCACTTCAGTTGCAGACAAGAGTGACTTCTGTAGGAATTACTAAATTTTTCAGTTTGATTCAAAACCTAAGAATAAATTTTGGTGTGTGTTAGGATAGCTGAAGTCTAAGGCACTAGACTCAGAATAAATTTCATACCAGTAGAGATATGTCGTATTCAAATAACTGCAGTAAATTAAAGATTTTTTAAAGTGATAACCTCTTTGCTGTACTAGAATATATGTTATGGTCATAAAATAATGTTGACCACTGTGTTCACCTGACTAAAAATCCATCGCTTCTATAATGTGAAAGGCTTAATATTTTCACCTATGATATTTCAGGTTGATATATAGGTGTACCCTATTTTTAAATGTATAAATGAGAATCCTTATTTTACTAGGCAGATAAATTGCAAAATAATTGAACCCACCATATGCTTACCAGTAAAACTATTATAATCACAAGTTCATCAAATTAATATTCAAATAAAGAAATATATTCAACTGCACATCTATAAGATAGATACAAAGAATTATATTTTACTGTAAGATTTAAGTTGAAATTTAAATTTCAGACAAATAAATAACAATCTTAGCATAAGTTTGTCCCAAAATATTGTATGTAAACTACTTATACAAAATATTGTATGTAAACTACTTATACAAAAATATTTGTTATTTATTTAAATTTAGATTCCACTGAAAATCCTGTATTTTTATTCATTAAATCTGGTAATACACAGGGATAGATGGCTAACTTAACTGGCTGGAGCTTGGAATTTCAGTGAGTATATAATATCAATCAAAATATATTGTACTGGCAAGAGATTACCAGGATCATTTCTCTATATAAAACAATTTTGATTCATTTGTATCTTTTGAGAAATGTTTCATGTGTGCGAATTTCCAAAACTGCTGTGCAAAGGTACAGAGACTGATAATGCACTGTGAAGATGAAATCATAATACTCTAAAATATAACCAGTCTACTAAAATTATTTCTCTTTCATTTGACTATGTATAGCTCACTTTCATATACCAAAAATGGCATTATTGAACTGTGATACAGAGAAAACAACTTAACAGATAACTTTTCAGTCAATACCGACACTCAACCTTTTCCTTTAATTACTAACAGGGTTTTGTACTTATCTTTTTATCCTGGAATCAAGCCAAAGACTATTAGTGATCTGGTTTGCCTGTTAAAAACGTAAACATTATCTAGACAACTGAGGAATTCCCAACAGCAGATATAATTATTATGTCACTGAAGATTTTTAATCATACTGTAGATCCTATGAACTCCAGGAATTGAACAAGTGTTTTGCTAATGTGTTCAATTCAATGAATCCATATGGTTTATCAAGACATGGATAACATCACAATCAGAAATAATCACTCCTGGTTTCTTTCCTCACCCCTCACTGACTTTTTTTCAGGAAGGAGAAATGACTTATCTCTGATTTAGGTTACAAGAAATTGGGAGTTCAAAGCTGTTCTTTCTCTTTCATGTCTGCTTTTCTACAGAGTTAATTGTGGCCAACTTGTTCTTTGCCATGATGCTTTGTTAAAAAGGCCAGCAGTTGCCTTTTTTTCTTTGTGATTTTGTGTTTAAGAATTAAGGAGTCAGAGATCACTCAGTATTATAAATTCTAATTCCATCCAGGTTGCTGCAAAGTTCATGATTTTGTTCTTCTTTATGGCTGCATAGTATTCCATTGTGCATATGTACCCCATTTTTTTTTATCCAGTCCTCTTTTGATAGACAGCACTGTTAGTTCCATGTTCTTGCTATTAAGAGCTGAGTATCACATGTTCTCACTCATAAGTGGACCTTGAACAACTACCATATTACTGTAGGAAAGGGATTGAAAGTAATGGGAAACTGTGGAGAGGGGGGTGGGGAATGGGTAGCTGGGATTGACAGTAGTTGATATCTGACTGGGGAAGCGGGGGCACACCTCATCAATAAGGGTAACTGCACAATGAATATTTGTATACTTAACCCTGAATTGTACCCAACAATTTTAAAATAAAAATTAAAAGAGAAAAAAAAGAATTGAGTAAGATTTTTTTAAAGGCTATTGTGGTCACATATCAAAACCACATTCAACAATGGATTTTTATTAGCCAATAAGTCTGGTATTATTTTTTTTCTCCATCCGTCATCATCTGTGATTATTTTTTAGTTATTCCTTAAGTCTGGAGAGGAAAATGTGGTAGATTCACTGGCTCTTTAAGGTCCTATCATAATAATTATCATTGACCATGGCAAAAACACAAATTAATTAAAATACAGTTCTGTCCCCAAAATATAATACCATATTTACTGAGTAAAACAAATTTTTCTTGATAAATTTGGCTTCGTCAACCACAGAATCAAGATTCTGTCTTCTAACAAACAAGGTATATACCAAGGGAATCTACAGTGAAAATATTCACTTTGTTCCTGACATCAACTGTGACCTTAGCAAAATAATTTTTTAAAAGTTTAAATTGTTTTCATAGAAATGACTGCTTCATTACTAAAATAACTGTTTTGTTTTGTTTTTTAATTTTGTTTTGAGTCGGAGTCTCACTCTGTCGCCCAGACTGGAGTGCAGTGGCCGCTCGCAGTCACCGCAGCCTTGACCTGCTGGGCTCTGGCAATCCTTCCGCTTCAGCCTTTCAAGTAGCTGGGCACGCGCTACTATGCCCGGCTAATTTTTTTTTTTTTTTTTTTTTTTTATTGTAGAGATGAGGTCTCGCCAAGTTGCCCAGGAGGGTCTCAAACCTGCGGGCTCAGGCAATCCACTCACCTCAGCCTCACAAAGCGCTGGGATTACTGGCTGAGCCATCAAGTCTGGCAAAAACTGTTATTAAAAGTGATTCTTTTTATACAAATTGAAAAAATTCTCAAATATTGCAATCTTTAAAATAATATTGTAACTTGAAAAGAAAGTCTATAAGACAAAATTCAAAGATTGTTAGCAGTATCTACAAAAAACTTATTTTGCTATATTAACTAGCATGTATAATTATTTAATCAAAATCTTCAAGTTGTAAGTATTCTTCCTAAAGTAGTTTGTGTAAATAGAGATCAGACATGAAGTAGAATCATACTCCTTTGCTTATCAAGTAATTGCTAAATAAGTCCTATTCCACACACATGAATTTCATTTTTTTGTTGTTTTTAGTTTTCATTTTGAAGTATTTTAAGAGGACGTCTGAAAAAGGAAAATATAATTTTACAAGAAATTTAAATATTAAATATATTTATGTAGGTTGCCATTAAATACTCCTCCTGTTATGGACTGAATTGTGCCCCACTCCCCACGCGACTATGTTGAAGTTCTAACCACCAGTGTGACTGTATTTGGAGATAGGGCCTAAAAAGATAATTACAGTTAAATGAGGTCATTAGTTAGGCCCTAATTTCATAGGACTGGTGTCCTTATGAGAAGAAGGAGAGACACTAGGAGTGCATACACACAGAGAAAAGGCCATATGAGGACGCAATAAGAAGACAGTCACTTAGAAGCCAAAATGGGAGATCTCAGAACATAACCTTTGGGCATTTTGGTTTGGGACTTCCAGCCTCCAGAACAGTGAGAAAATAAGCATCTATTGTTAAAACCACCTACACTGTGGTATTTTGTTATGGTAATTCTAGTAGACAAATGTAACTTCTGAAACACATATCTCTTATATCATGTGTAATCAGAGAAACATTTTATAGAATATAAAAGAATCACTGAGAGGCCTAGTGAAGAACAAAGGCTCTGAATCCAGACTATGTGCATTGAAGTTCTAGATCCATCACACACTCTTAGATCTTATTCAAATTATTTCTTTTAAAGTCTCTGTGATCAGTTTCTTCTTCTATAAAGTGGGATAACAAAAGTGCTATCTCAAAGGCTGTAACTAGAATTAAATTATAATAAACACATATTGAACATAATTTCAAAATAATACATTAACATTAATAACTAGTCCTTGGACTTAAACCTGATTTATGTCAAGTGCAATGTAAAGATTATCTATTATTACCATAGCAGGCAAA